AGAAGTCCGGTCATGTTTGTGTCATCTTCATATACAAGAAGCCAAGGATTCTTCAACTACTTAAGCCTCTATGTTAATACTCGCATGATTTCACTTCAACCGCAAGGGTTTTGGGGTTCCGCGGGGTCCAGACAAGGAAACTGGAACCTTCTCAATTCTTGCAAGAGAACTTGCTGCAAACAAGACAAGGTAGAGGGTTTAGAGGGCAAGGGGTATGCGGGGCAACACAGCTGAGATAAAAACCTCTGGTCTTGAAGAAGTACCTTCTAAGTCCGTCTGTTATGCTCTGTCCGTGCGTGCGAAGTGATGCATTTCTGTACCCTAAACCCTGAACCCTAAACCCTGAACCCTGAACCCTAAACCCTAAACCCTGAACCCTAAACCCTGAACCCTAAACCCTAAACCCTAAACCCTTCATGCAACTTCGGCCTTGAAGCCCCAAGCATCGAAACCTCCACCCGCAGACCCAGTTGCTTTTTTTGTAGGGGCCTGGATATATAATTGCACAAGGCCTTGGGGGGTATGTTGTGGTAATAGGGTTTAGGGTTTAGGGTTTAGGGTTTAGGGTTTAGGGGGGGGCCCTTAATGATTGGAATAGGGTTTGGGGGCCCAATAGACTGTAAGTATAATACGGACCCCCCCCCAAAAAAAAAAAAATGTATTGGTAATTAATTATTTAAGCCCCTACATTACGATCATCTAAAGTCTAAAAACTATAAGGAGGAGGGTTTAGGGTTTAGGGCTGAGGGCTGAGGGCTTAGGCTACTACGAATCATTCATTCCGTCCCCTACTTTACGCCATCCTTCGGCACGCACAGACAGCTAACTTGCAGCAGGCAGGAGCCTGACGATGCAGTTGCACTGGAGCCCTGGGCTTATCACCCCTCAACAGAAGCTGAAGCTCAAGAAGCGCTCAGGGCTTGGGGTAAACCCGGCACCCATAGCCACATTTTTCAATAACCGCCACAAACTTAAGCCGCCAAATCTCAAACCCGAATGGGAGCCATGATAGACCCATGCACCACTCTTTCTAGGAGACGACAAAAAGGAACCCTTCATGTAGACCCCTGGTGAGTAGACTTCCTCGCTTAGAAGGCGGTGTATCAACCGGGGGTCTACCTTAAAGCACCCTAAACCCTAAAACAATCCTAAACCCCAAACCCCAACACCCCTAAACCCTAAATCCTACACCCCAGAACCCTAAACCCTAAATCCTACACCATAAACCCCAAAACCCTAAACCCTAAAGCCTACACCCTGAAGCGTGGCTGGAGGTCTCAAGGCAGAGGGTCTCGCCAGAAGGCGCTGGATCCTCGCGCCATGCGGCGTGCCCAGACATTTGGGGTGTTAGGGGGTTTAGGGTTTAGGGTTTGGGGTTTAGGGTTTAGGGCTTAGGGCTTCTTGAGGGCTGTTAGGATTCGGGGTTTTGGAGGTTTGGGGCTGTTCCAGCGCTGTTGGGATTTTTGGTTTGGTGGTTTAGGGATGTTTGGGGACTAGGTGTGTTAACGCTTAGGGCATGCAGGTTCTAGGCTTGCAGGGAAGCTTGCGGGTGCAGTGCTTGTGGCCTTTACAAACTTTACGGCTTTACGAGTGAAGTCTTGGGTTTCACCCTAAACCCTAAACCCTAAACCCTAAACCCTAAACCCTAAACCTGGGTTTCAGGCTCTCAGCGGTTTCAGGATTCATAAATGCAGGGCCTCAGCTGCTTCAGACTTTCGGGATTGTAGGATTGTGGGGGGAGGCTTGGCTTTGGGGCTTAGGGGTTTAGGGCTTAGGCTTTAGGGTTTAGGGTTTAGGGCTTAGGGTTTAGGGTTTAGGGCTTAGGGCTTACGGTATAGGCTTTAGGGTTTAGGGTTTAGGGACTTGCAGCTACAGGACTGTGCGTGGGTTTTTTTTGAGGGGTTTAGGGTTCAGGGTTTCACCGGCTGTTGGGGCTGTAGCAAGCGAAGGGATGGGTTTCGGGGTCAGTAAAGGGCTTCGACATAAAACATACGTAAACCCCAGGCCCACTAGCTTTTTGCAGAAGGAAGCCAGGGGAGACTCCCAATTCAGGCTCGTGAAGGAAACCTGCACTGAAGAAGCCTCTGCTGCAACTGCAGGAGGTTATGTCTTTGTGCCAAGTCATGGTTGACTGCCCCCGACTACCAAACCTAAGCCCCGCTAAACCCTGAACCCTGACCCCTAAACCCCTATACCCTCAAGCCAATTCCCGGCAAAGGCACTGGATGCGAAGGTGAAGAGGACAGATTCCATCCTCCAACAGCTCGCCTCAGTTGGGTTCTTGTCAAGCAGCTTAGTGTCTATAAGTTCCCACAAATAATGAAAACATATCAACTACTCTAGATCTCGATGATGGTAACTCACTCCTTAGAAAGAAAGAACCCAGTCATTGGCCAAAGGATCTTCCAAGGAATGGTGTCTCTTATGCAGGCCCCACACGAGCAATTTGAGAGGCTTTCTCTGAACTCCAAGCATCCCTAGACCCCAAACCCCTCTTAACGGTTTAGGGTTTAGGGTTTAAGGTTTAGGGTTTAGGGTTTAGGGTCTAGGGTGTTCACAGTGTAGGAGTTTAGGGGTGCTTGCAGACGCAGACATCTCTGGACCGACCAACAAGGAAGGCTTTCAGAATGCCGGGTTCACTGCGAAACCCCATAGAAACCCGTACACTCTGAGCCTTGGAGCTCCCCTGAAACAACCATCTAACCACGGAAAACCCTCTAAAACACCTGACTAATCCTGGGGTGCTCGCTTAGGAGTTGCCTCGGTACCAGCACTTCATCATCACCAAAATCCATGGTGCTCGCCTCGTCGAAAGGAGGGTACGACATATGATCATAACTGCCTGGGCAACTGCCTTAAATCGGTAATAGTAGCAAAATAGGAACGAGAAGAAGAACAGTGGCAGTAGAAGACGTCGTCGTCGCCGTCGTGGTCGCAGTAGCAGCAGAAGTCGTCGTCGTTGTCGTAGTGGTAGTAGTAGTAGTAGTAGTAGTAGTAGTAGTAGCAGTAGTAGTAGTAGTAGTAGTAGGAGTAGCAGGAGCAGTAGCAGTAGCAGTAGCAGTAGTAGCAGTAGTACTAGTAGTAGTAGTAGTAGTAGTAGTAGTAGTAGTAGGAGTAGTAGGTTTCAGGCTTGTCGGTCCTATCGGGTAGCAGTTGCTCTGGTATGATGGTCAGTATGTGATGCACTCATATGCTAAATTTAACTTTAGCAATAATGACAGGAAAAAATTTCAGTAGTAGGAAAGGCCGTAGCAATATGTATTTACAGCACTAATTACAGGGAATAACGAGTGGCATAACCGGTACGCTAATAGTGCAGTTTCCGAATATGTACAAGGACATCATGTAGAATCACGAGAAATCCTAGTACGGTCATATATAAGCAACTGAAGAACCTTCTCTAGATTGGCCTGCCTGCAAACATTGCCGAGATGATCATATGGCCCTTTTCAGACTACTAGAACTAGAACCCATTGTGTTTTGAAACTCCACTTCGTCCACGTGTCAATTTGGCAAGAAAACGCAGAACGACCACTCATGAAGATCATGCAACAGGATACAACAAAACAAAACACGACAAGGAAGTGTACAGTCGCTTGGGCACCAGAAAATGGCCCAAAGGCCACCTGAAAACAGTTTCGGACTGAGATCTCTTAGATCTCCTGATACACATTGAACACCCTTGCATAGTGGTACCCTGAAATGCACCCAAATGGAGCACCCGCATCCAATCTCGGGGACGTTAAAGCTACCTCCCCGCCTGGAACTCACCAAACAAGGGCACGTAAGCTTCTTGCGGCCCTAAACCCTAAACCCTGACCTTGTCCCTGCAATGCTTCTTCCTATGCTTTGGATCGTCCCATACCGCAGGATAGACACTTGGGCAAGTGTGATTGGTGGCTGGAAGGGTTGCAGGAGAGCGATCCATGTGGAACCTGTGAGAACCAGCTTGTGGCGACTTGTGTGGCGTTCTTAAGCTTGGAGAACTTGGTGCTTGGGGCAATGTGAGCCAAGAATAGGTCGGAAGGCAGCCACTCACACATGCGGGTGATGATCGCAGTGCTACAACAGGAACATGACATGGTCAAGTTCTTGAACCCACCCTGAACCCTAAACCCTAAACCCTGAACCCTAAACCCTAAACCCTAAACCCTAAACCCTAAAACCTAAAGCCTAACCCTAACCCCATAGACCCCCACAAACCCTAGAGATGCTGCAGGTCTCACGCACTCTTTTCTTCTGCCTGAGGCGCACGTTGTCAGGTCTGAAGCGCGCAGCTGTCGTCAAATCCCCAGGGTCTTGTTTTTTGGCTAGTAAGTAGGGCTTAGGGTTTAGGGTTTAGGATTTAGGGTTTAGGGTTTAGGGTTTAGGATTTAGGGTTTAGGATTTAGGATTTAGGGTTTAGGGTTTGGGGTTTAGGGTTTGCGGTTAGGAGGCCCTACCTAGACCCCAGAGAACCTAACCTTTTTAAGGACTTATTTGTGGAACTCATAGTAATGAACCCTAAAAAGGGAGGTTTTTAAGGGTCCAGGTAGGGCTTATGGGTGTAGGGCTTATGGATTTCGGAAGTTCAGCTGGATGCAACTTAACTTTCATGCCGACAGGTGTGACGGTGGTTCGGGAGCTCGTTGGCAGAAGGATCAGTTGTGGGTTTGAACCCTAAAACCCTAAACCATAAACCCTAAACCCTAAACCGTGAGGTTGCCAAGAGCCTTTTCACGCACCCTCTCGAGGTTGAGGTTTCGGTAGTTCCGCGCATTTTGAGACGGTTTTTCTTTTTTTTATGGGTTGGGTTCGACTCTTGTCTGCCAGCGCTGGCTCCCAACAAGTACTGTGTATTACAGCACCTTCACAAAACGCCCCTCAACGTACATGCCTCTCTCACTCACTTGTAGCAATAGACGAACCGAATCAGGTAATAGGCGCAGAGGACGGCCCCGACATCGAACAGGAGGATGTAGAAGACGACGACGGGCAGCGATCGGAGCAACCCGAAACATTCATCGTTCTCCCCACGTTCGAGGACCCAAACGTCCCATCTTCTGTAGCTGCTTCCATAGTCGTTCCGTCCCCCTGTGGTAGTAGAGCAGGAGCAGCTTGTGCCAGAGAGTGACCAGGAGGGGCTGGGTCACCATGAGGAAGTGCCGGAACTGGCACAGGACCGCGAAGTAGTGGTTCAGGACCTCGACGAAGCGTTTCAGGCAGTAGATCCGGATGTAGCCATGCATCATCCATTGCTTCCTCCACGACCCTCCGCGTGAGCCCAGGGAAGCACATCCCCAGGCGACTGCTTTGCCACCTCATTTGTGCCCGACCATTCTCTGGCGGCATGGAGCTCACCCCACATTCCTCAGCCCTCTGTAGCAGAACTTCCATGACCGCTTCATTGGCACGATTTACACGTCCCAGAGTATAGTGGAGAACACGGAGAGTCCAACCAGCATCACGCGCTCCATCGACCCCAGGAAGCTCGGCAGCCATTTCGTCCAGCAGATGCGAAAGTTCGCAGATGCATTCCCGACTCACCCCACACTCAAACAGTCGCTCCCCTTCCATGTGGTTGAGTCGTTGAACCAGCATGACTTCATCCTCTTCCCTGTCCTCCTCGTTGGTGTCGCCCCATGTACAGGTACCAGTAGAAGAGCACGGCGGCAACGTGGATGTACTGGAAGTGCTTGTAGACGAAGCCGTAGACGTTGTCGACTTTGGTGCCACGGACGTAGTAGAGCTCGATGGGGACGAAGCCGTAGACGTTGTCGACCTCATTGGTGCCACGGACGTAGTAGAGCTCGACGGGGCCACTGGTTCGTCCTCACTGGCGTGACCACTTTCTTCTTCAAAGACTTCCTCCTCCCCTTCCTCGTTCTCGTCCTCCCCAGCAGCATCCACCCCAGTGTCAGCAGCCACTGTTGCAGTTGCCAGTCTATCCTGTGGACCGAGATATGGAGCCTGCCCACTACCAGCTGGAACATCACGTAGAGCATCCCTTTCTCGCTGTTCTCTGGCAAAAGCTGTTCTTGGGGTCCTGTCCCTTCCTCTTCCATCCCCCGTTGCTTCTTCGCCCCGTCGTAGGTTGTCTTGTACATCGTCCCTTTGTCCTTCAAGACGACGTAGCAGGAGGTTATCACGGTCAGGTCGTCGGCGAGGGGGTCGTTCTTGTTCACGAAAGCGCGGCGGTAGAAGATCCGGTCTGACCCATGCATCGTCCAGTGCTACGTTGTAGGCCTGGAGGAAGACATTGGCCATGACCGCCCCTTGTTCTCGACAGGGGTACAGTACTCGCCCTCGTTCAGCATCATCACTTGGTAGGTACGCCCCACCAGCCACCTCCCTGTTCTCCAGCATGTTGATGAGCTCCAAGAGGACACGAACACCATGACGAAGTGCCCTGGTGTGCACCATAAGGCTCCACATGCTTTGCGCCCGTATGTGCATTGGTTGGTTGGTGTCCCCAACCTGCATAGCAAGTCGTCCCAAGAAGGTGTCCACCGCGGTGATGTTCGCCCCAGCCACTCCTTCGTTTGTCAGTCCCTGCCACTCATCCATCTGGAAGGTCTGAACCATGCTCATGACGTCGAGGTTGTCTTCGGCTTCAGGCTCGTTTTCCACATTCGCGACATTCTCCCCACGCGACGTTCTGCTCCTGCTTCGGGAACGCTCACGATTATTCCCCGCCGCACTTCCCATTGCTGACGAAGGGGGTGCTTGTTCAGGTACTTGAACAGGTAGCTGAGGAGCCGTAAGAGCTGGTTGGTCAGGTAGATCTGCAGCAGGAGGTGGCGGGAGTCTCACCCCTTCTGGAAGTCGAGCGAGGCGGTTGGCGTGGTATCGCAGCAGGTCATCAGCCACCCCCAACAGGACGCGCATAATACGCCCAGCCACCCCAAGAAGTCTGGTACGTTGAGCTGCGACCCGTGGTTCACGAAAGAGAGGTACATGGCAAGCTGGGTTAGGGCCCAAGCGTCTTTCCACGATTTCCGTGACGGACTGTAACACCCCAAGTACATGTCTCCATCGCACCATCCATTGTCGAAGTGCCCAACGCCCCTCCGGTCCTTCCTCCATTGTGTCAAGGTCATGTAATGCACGCAAGAGGTTACGAAGTTCACGTCGCCCCTGGTCATATATACCCAAGTTTTCCAGCTCGGCTTCTTCTGACATCCCCAACTGCATGAAGACGTTGTCCTCCTCGTCGTCATCGCCAGCTGCATCCTGCCAATCCTTCCAGTCCTGGCTTGTCCAAGTAGTACGCGGAGGGGGCTCATCATCCCTTGGCCAGCTCTGCACCGTGGGTGCATCATCCGACTGTTCATCCCCTTCTGGTTCATCACGTTCTTCAGAACATTCCGCATCACGGCTGGAGGCGGAACACGATGTGTGGTCCTCAGAGACATCTTCATCCCAGTGCACCTCTTCTGCGTCCGGAGGGCTAGCGTCCCATTCGCTTGGTCCAGGAGGGGGCGGACGATGAAGGTGACGATTGAGCATCTCGGCGAAGTCCACACCTTGGGCTGCTTGCTGACGTTTCCTCCAAGCAGGCACAAACTCACCCCGAGCCCATTGTTGCATCCGTGTCTGACGTTTGGTCTGTCTGACCGTCCCTTGGCCACCTGTGTGAAAGCGTTGTTCTTCTGCTGTTCTCTCTCTTCCGACCCATTGTCCATGTCTGTAGAATCCAGTTTGAGCGCGACCTTCTGGGGCACGTTGGTCAGGATCTTGTTCGTGTCCTGTCACTTCGTCCCAAGGTGGCGGTCCCCAAGTGGAGGGATCGGTGGCCCACTGAGTGGAAGAACTTGCTGTAGACCTCACTGGCGCCCCATCATGAGGTTCATGCCACTCTCTTTGTCCAGAAGAGCGAAGTTCTCGTGGAGGATCGTCCCATTGTCGTTCACGTTCGTCCCCAACATCTTGTGCAGCACTCGCAGAATCGGGTAGCCGCGAGCGATGACGTGCATGTCGATCTGTGCGAGATTCAGGTAGTCGGGAATCATGTTGACGATGTGCAGCATGACCTCGTCCTCGTTGTTGGGCATCTCCCCAAGCAGCATCTTGTGCAGCACTTCCCGGATCATGTTGTTGTGGGCGATGGCGTGGATGTGCTCTTGTGTCAGTTTCAGGTAGTCGTGGATCATGTTGTCGATGAGCACGTTGGCCATGTTCATGTTCTCGAGCGCCCCCCCCCGGTGGGTCTGTACTGGAAGAGCTCGCTCCCCACTGGCTACCATGCTCTCCACTCGTCCCATCTCTTCGCCAGTTGTTGCTGTTGGTATTCCATTGTGACGTCCACCCCGGCGCCCCAACCACTTGCTTGTGCAGGTAGAGGACGAACGTCAAAAGGAAGATGAAGGCGAGACGCCCCTTCAGCAGCAGCGCCACCATGGTCGCGAAAGGCGATCTACGAATTGGGGTCCTCAGGAAAAGTGTTCACCATTAAAGAACTCAGATGTCATTCTGAAGTCAAAGTAAAGGCAGTCGTCGTCAACAAAGTAGAAAGTATAGGTAGTTCACGTGCTTGCATGTCAAGAACACTGAGGAGGCTGCAGGAAACACATCAGCATGGCAAGCTTCACACGTACTTGCGGACGCCCCTCAAGCTTCCAAACACAACTGACGCCCCCTTGACCAGGGTAGGTCCATGTCAAGGATCCACTTCTTCATGAGCTGCTTCCAGCCCTCTCTCGACTCACAGGGTTTAGGGTCCCCATGTATCGCAAAATCGATCTGCTTGGTGTTTTGCAGCTTGTCGAAAGAATGGCCGTCGGGCACAGGGTCTGCAACCTTATGAAAATGCAGGGGTCCACAAATCTCTTTCGTCGTAAGAAGCCTTGAAAATCTATATTATAGTTCATGAAACAACTATCGAAAGGCAGAAGGAGGAGAAGAAGATACTTCGAGAGAGAGAGAGAGAGAAAAGAAAACAAAAAATGGATGATTGCCAAAAAAACCCGACCCAGGCTCCAGCGGCCGCCAGTGGTCGGCAGAAAAGCTCTGGATTTTTGGCTTTGGATTTAGGGTTTAGGGTTTACGGTTTAGGGTTTAGGATATTGGATTCCTGGCTTTTGGATCTGTTGCGGCGGGGATTCCCAGCACGGTGTCGAATTTCGGGTTTAGGGTTTGGGGTCTTTTTTTGACACCTCTTTTCCACCTGCCTGGTTAAGTTAGGTCGAAGGGTTTAGGGTTTAGGGTTTAGGGTTCTATCACCCTCAGCAGTGATGGGTCGAAGCGCCTCTCTGGTCGCTCAGGGGGCGATTTGGCATCTAGAGGCGTCAGGTTTTTCGAATCAGGAGAAGCCATTTGGGGGTTTCCGAAAATAGGGGACCCTAATATAGTACCCTAAATAATAGGATCCTTATTATAAGGACCCCCAAATAAGGTACCCTAATTTTCTGACATTCCCATCTGACTGTAAGGTTGCCGGCTAGGTCCGGATCATAAGGAATCGCTATTGGGGTCTTGACTCCAGACTGCAGCGACGAGGCACTCATACACAGGGACACCAGGCAGGAACACCTCAAGCCATTGAATCGCAAACGATCTCGTGTTGCATGCCCTGTACCAAGAAAGCGAGTCCCGTTGTCCTTACACGCAGACGTACAGCTCCAGGCCCACGGCCACGGCATCTACGCAAACCGAAAAAGCCATGATTAGTACGTCACACTCCGCTCTAGGCCTCTTTTTTAAGCCCCAAGACCCTGAACCCTAACCCCGACCGCAGCTCATCTCACTTCGGAGGTGTGGCAGGCACGGCGCATCACAGTCGCAGGGCCTCGCACGGTGAAGCCCAGCACACAGTTAAAAAACCCGGGTTGAGGGTTTAGGAGTTCAGGGGGATGTGGGACTAGGCTTTAAGGATCCTAACTCCGAGCTTTGGGCCCTGGCCCCAGGATTTGCGAGGAGCTTGCGGGGAGCTGATCCCGCATGATAGATAGGGGCCCTGAGCTCTATCCAACATTGTCTCAGCATGTCTAAGCCACATGGGAGTTTCCAAGAATTAGGCTACCTTATTTGGGGGTCCTTATAATAAGGATCCTATTATTTAGGGTACTATATTAGGGTCCCCTATTTTCGGAAACCCCCACATGGAGCAGCGCATGGCTGCTACGTCACATGTCTGGGGGCACCTGCTACCTTCACTTTGTCTTCTTGTCCTTCCCTTTGCGGAGCCTCGGTCCATGATTCCAACATGATCCAAAATGCACGTGTTGCCGAGCTGAGCCACCGAGCTGGAGTTGTAGAGAGAAGTTCAAGATCCAAGTAGGATAATGCACTATCACGGTCATAGTCGTCATGGTCATAATCATTGTGCCACTGCTGCCACTCCTGCTGCCGCCTCTGCTGCTGCTGATGCTACAGCTGCAGCTGCTGCTGCTGCTGCTGCTGCTGCTGCTATAGCAGCTGCTGCTACTGCTATTGCTACTGCTACTGCTACTGCTCGTACTCCTACTCCAACTCGTGTTCCTACTCCTACTCGTACTCCTACTCCTCCTCCACCTCCTCCTGCTGCTGTGCTCCTGCTACTAATTACGACGACGACGACTTACGTCTACTATTCCTTCTACTACTACTGCTACTACTACGACTACGACGACGACTACTACTATTACTACTACTACTACTACTACTACTACTACTACTACTACTACTCCCGCTCCTGGTCCTGCTCCCACTCCTACTCCTACTCCCGCTCCTGCTTCTACTCTTTCGACAACGACGACGACGACTACTACTACTTCTTCTACTACTACTACTACTACTACTACTTCTACTTCTACTTCTACTTCTACTACTACTACTACTACTACTACTACTACTAATAATAATACTACTACTGCTACTGCTACTGCTACTGCTACTGCTACTACTACTACTACTACTACTACTACTACTACTACTGCTCCTGCTCCTACTCCTACTCCTACTCCTACTCCTATTCCTACTCCTACTCCTAACTCCAACTCCAACTCCTACTCCTACTCCTACTCCTACTCCTACTCCTACTCCTGCTGCTACTGCT